ACCATGCTCACAGAGTGGGAACAGCAGCTGGTTTTGTCTGTCATCATTCCATTGATTGTTAATTATAGCTTGTAGTAATGTTACTCATCTAGATAAACATGAGATATTTTTATATGGCAACACATGGTGTCTTGATGCTTTTAGCAGTGACTGTGTAGAAGGTGAATTACAGCCTCTTCCATCTCACTGATTCTCAGGTGTAGCCAGAAGAGGTTATGCAGAAATCACTATTTGTGCAGACTAACTCTCAAGTCAGTGATCTTTTGAATGGTGACAAATTAAAAGCTTGGATAACTTGAGAGAAGTGCAGTTAATAACATTTAATGGGATCTATCAGAGGTATCATGAAAAATAATACTAATTTTGTTGCAAACAAATAATGACCTTTCTATGGAATGGCAAATGGATGGTGATACAGTTTATTTGAAGGTCTGAAACACAGACAAGCTGTTCAGAAAGCAGAGATCTTGGCTGGCACAAGACAGCATAGATTTCCTTCTCATCTGGGAGCTAGCCAACATTCTGCTTTCATCATATAGAACTGCCAGAATTGCTTTAACTGAGCCAAAAGAGTCTAAATATGAACAGAACGAGCTAAAGAGTGAACAATTGCTTCTTATTAACATCTATCATGAAGAGTTTTGATTGTCAGATTGGGTGTGTGTCTCGTTCAGGCAGTGATTAATTATTTTTATACAAATGTAACACCTCCTGATAAGCATCAGGTGTTTTTTTCCTTGGCAGTGAATGACTGTTTGGCATTTTTTGTATATACTCTTTAAAATGTAAGATCAGTTGCTTGTATTTCAATTCTTTCTGCTACAGATTATGAATTGTGCTGAAGGTTTTCTTATTATTAAAGTAAGCCTTATGCTATTTCTAGTACCTAGCCTTTTTCCATTGCCAACATGTTTTCCAATTCAGAATTTAGCAGAATTAATTTCGGACCCCTGTAAATACCATTCCTTCACGTTGTTAAGTGGTTACTAGTGGAAGCTGGAATACAATATCTAGTTCAGTCTCTCTTGCAATTACTAAGCACATTACAGACTCTGAGAACCAGAGTCATAGACAAAGGATGCTGTAGAATTACATAATGCAACAATTCCTCATTAGACTGATAATTTAGGACCAGATCCAAAGCCCATTGATGACAGTGTTAGTGATTTTTATTAACTTCAGTGCATGGGGTGAAATTCGTCTTTTTTCCTGCAGATGTCTGACACATTCCTCAGCTCCTACTTAATATGAAGGATGAAATGTTACAGAGACCTCTGCACAGAGGTGAATTTCCAGAAATAAGGCAGCATGTAGTTTATTGATGTCAACCACTTGTCATTCATCTGCTGTCATGTCCCCTTCTTATTTCAGACTTAAATTATTCAGTAAAACAGTAAAGAAATGTTTGAATGGTTTCTTTTATAATTCCAGACGGGAAAAAGCGAGAAGTAAATCTTGGTGGAGGGACGCCTAGACATTGTTTCTTTGAGCTGATGCCTGGAACCGAATATAAAATCAGTGTTCATACACAGCTTCAGGAGATAGAGGGCCCTGCTGTAAGCATCATGGAGACAACATGTGAGTAAAATAGATTAGAGTTCAGCCAGCACTGGTAATGCTTGATTGCTTCTCATGTTTTGCCCTTTGCCCACAGATGTGGTATTCCTCTGAAGTTTCCTTTAGCTGAGGTTTAAATTTTTCAACTGCAGAGGTTGACAACAGAGGTGCAGGTGCAGGATTCTTACATCGCTGCTGTGTATTACTTGTGAAGTCACATTCACCAACTGTATTGGACTTATTAATAAGAATGAAACAGGGAAGATGGTTTAGCTTTCTTCATAAAAAGTCCCACTAGGGGATACTCTGAAAATTTGTGACTTTGGAAAAAAAAAATCCAGAAGAATGAAGCAAACAGAGAAAGTTTTGTATCCTGCAGCTCTTGTTATTTAGTAAAATTTTACCAGTGTCTGAGTAATTTACAGATAAATGGGACCTTGGTACCCAATCTATTTATGTATTTTAAAACAAACAAACCAACCAACCTTTTTATTATTATTCTCAATAACACAAGACAGGCAAAAGAACGCCTCACAGCTGTTTATGAAAGCAAGATCCTTCTCTCATGAGTTCAAAGTACTGCAAAACAAAATACAGGATGAACAGAGTGAATATTTTTCTTATATTTATATATATTTAGATATTTTTATCTTTCTTTCTTTGAGCCCACTTTCAATCTCAGTGACACCCTTCTTCTCATACTATATTTACTATACACCACAATGCTGTTACTCTTCTCTCAAGGTAGATAATGTTTACAATTTTCCTCTGCAATTGAACCCTCCCACGCTTATGGTTTCACATAGGAAAAATTTGCACAGGTGCATGACTCCTGAGTTGTTCAGGGCTCATTCTCAGAGCAATGAGGAACAAGCTAAGCTTCTCCTACTTTTTGGAGGAATGCATTTTGTGTGCTCTGCAGTTCAGGCAGTTAGGAGACATAAGGAAGAACACACCTTGGCCTACCTATCCATTTGAGAAAGATGGTTTGTGATGCAGACAAATTACTGTATCATCTCAGAAGAAAACACTCCTCAGGGTGACCTGTACCTCTCTGGTGCTTAGAGAGCAGCCTTTCAAGTCACCTTACTGCAGTTGTGACCCTTTCTAAATGGGTCTGGTCCTAGTCTGTCTGTGGACATGGAGGTCCTGGGCTTTAGTTTCTTGTAGGTGTTTCAGAGTCTTGGCCCTTTCTCTTGTTGAAGCCGATGGGAAAACCCACATCAGTTGCAGTGGGAGTCAACATAGATGTGGACATGAGGCTTGTAATGAATCCTGTTTGCACTAATCTTTTCCAAAGATAGGTACCTTTTCTGAAGTTTTTTTATCTAACTCTATCCATTGTCTATAAACTTAACATATATTATAGCAAATAACAAGTGTAGTCTTACTTGAAGGAATGATGTTCTGTCACCTGTGGCTTGTTATGCTAATTGCGTTGCAAAAAAAATTGGAAAAAATGCCCTTGAACAAAAGCAGAAGCTTTCCTCAGATACAGTTGTGGAAGTCAACATATGTGCATGTTACCTCTGAGAATTCATCCAAAACTGCACTGAAAGGCACTAAATAGAGTTCTTGCATTCAGCAAAGCTGTCAATCAGTGATCATGTATTCAGGCAGGTTTCTGGGAGGTTGGCATTCCAAAGCTTATTTTCAGGAGAAGGATGAGACATTTTCAGAAACTCTGTATAACAACCTTACTAGAAGTTGCTGCAAGCAACAAAGCCACAGTCCTGTAGAGTTGTGGTCGGAACTGCATTTCTAGCTGGAAACATAACAAGGTCTTCCACCAAATTCAGGAAAATCTTGATCAGGGCAGGCCGTGATCTGCTCTCCAAGTGCAGGCACTGGCTTGCTTTTGCTTTTTTTTTTTTTTGCATCTCTTCGTATTTTGGATTGTAGGACTAATATCTTCCTCCTTCCAGTGTGGGTAGAGACCTACTTTCTGTTGACTAAGGACTGGTTATGGTCAGAAAGGAAAAGGACACTGACCTTTTACAAAATGAATTATGGATACTAGGTCAAGGATAGGGCTGCCACATGGTCTACTACACTGGGGAGACCCAAAAAGGGGCAGTTCCAGTAGTAGTTCAGTTGTATTGTTGTATCATTCACACTGAAATGCATCCATTTATTGCTCTGTAATAGTACTATCGTTTTTTGGGTGGTCAGTAGAGGAGGATATTATATGCACATGCTCACCTACATTTCTCTCCAGTTGCATAACTAGTTGATTAGAGATAATGAATTTTAAATGTGGAGATGAGTAGAAAAATGCTGTGTTTAATATAGATAAAATATATTGGGCTATTTAAGCATTTTTTAATATTCCTTCCTTTTATTCTCCAGTACCATTTCCAACTCAACCACCAACAACACCTTCAACACCATCTCCACCACCTACAATCCCTCCTGCAAAAGAGGGTAAGTGCTACATGTGTGGGTTTATAATAATTTTAAAGTGTTGATGCAATGTTTTTCTGCTTCTGATGCTATTTTAGACCTGTGGGGATCAGATTTCAAAATGCATTTGCTACAGTGACTCTGTAAGGTAGCTGGCTTAAATTTAATGAGCCAAAAATCTGACATCATTATTGTATTGTTGAAATTTGCAGGAAGGAGGGTTAATATGTGTGAGATTTTCCTTTTCCAGAATTCCTAAACCATACATATTTGCAACTGAAGCAGATATCCTAGGGTAATTAAACTTCTAAAGCAGCATGATTTTTAAAAATATGTCCACTTTAGGTAATGAGAAAAGTGTTGGCCATCTCCAGTCTCTTCTTTCTTTAAATGTAGACTTCCTTCTGTTTATCATTTGAACATGTAGTGTTTTGTACAGAGTCTCTTAAATATTTCTGTGAAGGGAGCATTATTGGAAACTGAGGATCAAATCCGTCATCTTGAAGTCAGTGGACCAAACTGTCATATAGTGATTGAGAATTTAATCCATAAGTACAGGAAAAGAAAGACATTGTGTGTGTGTTTTAGAACTGCATAGCAGCAGATTTTTTTTTAATCCAAGGAGTAATCAACAGAAAATGAGAAATATGGGTACATATCTTCTTATCCCATTTTCTGGATTTAGATAAACATTTTTCTTCAAGATGAAATATGTTGAAAAACAGCTTTGCTTTGAGACTGTTTGTTTCTGACCCCAAGCAATAGACTTCTGTAGAGCATTGAAGGTTCACAGTTCTCATGAAAGAGTGAGCAACTTGTGTGAGCAGGTGTACAGCTCTGCAGGCCATTTTGCCTAAGAACATGCTGGAATAAGATGAGATGGAGGAAACCTGCATTGGTCCTAAATAGTGCAGTTAAAGGGGTAAGCATTAGGTACTACAGAGCTTAGGGTAACTTTTTGACTGGACTAGTTTCCCACTGGGAACCTCCACAGTCAAGATTCTCTCATCTTGCTTGCTGTGTCACGCTAGGAGTCTGGGATTCTATAAGTTCATGTGTGACTTTACTTACAACCTAAATAAAAATGGTTAGCCAGATTTTAAAGAGCCATTATGGCCTTGAAGTGCATTCTGTGATAGGATCTGTCAGTGCAGACCATTCACTCCTTGCAGAGCTCAACTGGTTCTACACCTGCACTGAAGTCAATGCCAGCAGGTCTGTTTGCTAAAACATTGTTAACTAACTTTAAACAAGGGCTTTTCATGACAGTTGCATTTTCTCAAGTGATTTATGAGATTTCATGAGGAGTTGAGGCATTGCTCTAATTCCAAAATACTCACTTTTCTTTCTCAGTGTGCAAAGCAGCCAAAGCTGACCTGGCGTTCCTGGTGGATGGGTCATGGAGTATTGGAGATGAAAATTTCAATAAAATAATTAGCTTTCTCTATAGCACTGTTGGAGCTTTGGATAAGATTGGTCCTGATGGAACGCAGGTAATCAACATGTAGGGAGACGGAGGGCGCATGGATTTGACAGGGTATTTTAGAATAGCACCAGAAGTGAAATGAATCAAAAAGTAACTGACATCATTTCACAGTTCTTTTGAAAATATGAACTGCTTTAGGACAGCATTTTTTTTCAATACCTTCTTTTATACACACCATATGGTGAAATTCATGATATGAATTTTGCTAGCATGAAGGCTAAGTATCATTTCAGTCTCCTCTAAATAATTCTAATGAGATTTAAGTTGTGTTAATGTTTTTGGTATTGGTTCTTACTGCGGTGTTTATTTCTAAATAAGCTAAAAATGGCATTGATAAGGAAAATTAAAGGTTCATTTGTTTAAAATTGCATGCTTTACAGAATCGACAGTGCTTGAAATAAAATATAGTATTTACTATGATTATTCTATTTATGTATTTGTTTAGAGAGATGCTTGAATCTGCTCCAGAAAAGATTACTGGCAAATATATTACTGTTTTAAGTGTTACCTGTGTAATATACAGTTTGGGATAGCATTGAAAATTATTTTTAACTTGTCCAAACCCTAAAAAATGCTCAGTTTTTACTGTTTCTTGCTATACAACTATTTTCTCAGAATATAGTCCATGGTGCTTCAGAAACTTATGCACAAACTTAAGCTTAAGCATGTGAATAGCTCCTTTTAAATCGGGGACACCACTTATAGAATATGAAGTTCAATAAATGTTTTGTGAGTTGTAGGGGTTTAGTGTATAGTATTGAAATATAGTGTCTGGACTCATGTAGCATCATATTTGGGAGAGGCAGTATTTCAGAACATGTTCTTGCATCTTTCTATTACTTGTGTCAGTATTGCTCCCTAACTCAAGTTACTTATGTGCAGCTGTTAATTCGTGGAGACTGAATAAAGTCCCTGCAGTTCTGTGTACGAGTAACCGTACATGTGTGAGGAGCTGTTAACAAGGATTTTGCTTTTGGGCTCGATTGAGAGTGCTTTTGCCAAAGTGGGTATTACTTTTCTCATCCTGTTTGGTGCAAAATGAAACCAGAAAGTGTTAGGTGGTTGGCAAAGCTACAGAGAGTAAAATTAAAGTTTACTTAGTGAAAGCTTCTTAAAGAGGAAAAACATTTTGGCTTTAATTTAAAGATGAAGCAAAGTTATGAGATAAATCCTTGGTTTAAATGCTCTGATTCACTTTTTGTATATACACTGGGGTGGTGCTTTAGTAATGAACACATCTTCTGTGTGCACAGGTGGCAATAATTCAGTTCAGTGATGATCCCAGGACAGAATTTAAATTGAATGCATACAAAACAAAAGAGACTCTTCTTGAAGCTATTCAGCAAATAGCCTACAAAGGAGGAAATACAAAAACAGGTGAGAAAGGTCACTATTATGATGCAGATTTTCTCCCTGCTGCTCTCTGTGCAGTATTTCTTTCCCATTTGCTAAGTGGTTTAATATACCAGTGCAAAACCAGTGAGAACATGGTATCTCCACACTGGAGGTGAAAGGTTGGGCTTTGAAGTTAGAAGGTCTTTGTAATCTGCAGTTCACACCCTTCACCCCTACTGCTGGGTATTCACCCCTCTGACCAACAGTGATGTCAGGGATCAGGGAGAAAGGGAGAGAGGCAGCTAGACAGAGGTGAATGACTTTGGGGATTGTGGAAGGTGGAATGGGGAGTAATATGAAATCAGCTTGGCAATTGGGAGGGGAGAGAAGGTGGCAGGGAGTTTGCAGAGCATGTAGAAAACGGTGGACAGAGTGGGGGGTCTGTTTGGTTATAAACCAGGACAGTTAAGCCTCAGTGGTATGTTTAAAACTGGGCTGGGGGTAGACGTCTGTTAACTGAATGTATTTACATTTTAATTAATCCCTTAAGATGGCTGTCTGATGTGAAGAAATTAAAGTTGAGTGCTGAAAGTGTTAAAATCTGCTTTAGTTGGAAACCATATGTTTTATTATTCTCAGACTGCACAGAAATTTCTTGCAGCTGCTGCACTGCATCCAGTCTCAGTACTATCAAAAGAACACGCTTCCCATTTACTCAAGAAAATGCTACAATAGCACTTTTAGTTGTTACCTGGACTGTGCCCTACAATCCAGTAAGGGAAGATTTTGTTATCTCTAACCAGCGTAGAATACACTTTCCCACACATGTCATATTGTTGAACTTCACCTTCTGGATTGAAGAATTGAGTAGCTGAAGCCATCAAATTTTCAAAGGTTAGGGTCAAAATTAAACTTTTCTAAATCTCTGTTTCAGTAACTATACAATGCAGTAATTTACAGACTACTCAGGACCCAACAGGTTTCTCTTTTTATCGATGTCTAACATGATATAAGAAGCGAATAGAAACTGGATCTGTGTCACTGTGAAAGTATGTTGTCAATCTTTTCTGTTTCAGGCAAAGCCATTAAACATGCAAGAGAAGTCTTGTTTACTGGAGAGGCAGGCATGAGGAGGGGCATTCCAAAGGTTTTAGTTGTCATTACTGATGGGCGGTCACAGGACGATGTGAACAAAGTCTCCAGAGAAATGCAACTAGATGGTAAAATGTGTACTTTTAAGAACCATTGAGATTTTCCTTTTTCTCATTAATTATAACTACGCAAGTGTGGGCATGAGATAAGGGTAACACTTGCTCCAGGAAGATTTCCAAGTTTAAAGAAAACAGACAGCAAATGCTGAGAAACTCAGAATATCACTAGGATATGGCTAGATTCTGGATTTTTTTTTGGTAATTAATGCCATTATTTTTCATTTTGGGGGCACTGCTAAAATCATGTAGTAGTCAATGGAATTGCTCTCATGATGAAGAATTTAGGGGACATGATCCTGAGAATCTGGACCTGTCATCTATGAAGTGTAGTCTTATGGTTACCAACAAACTGAACTGTTTTGTTTTCTGTACAAGAGGTCCTTCGAAAATTCTTTCATATGTTCTTTTGCTGGTTCTGATCTGCTCTCATGTTACACTAATTACTTTTAGGAATTTTTTTTAAACCACCAATTTTAGAGCTTTGAGCAGCCACACAATGTTGTGAGTCTAAGCATAAGAACGGGGTTAGTTGTAGAAATGTCCGATACTGAGGTTTGTATCAAAACCCAAAGGGCACAGTGTGCCACGTGGAACAAAGCTAAAGGATGGAAGAAAAAAGCTATCATCCTTTTAATGTGAGGAGATCGAAGAAGAAATTGCATTTGTGCTTTTTTTATTTGCCTTTAGACTTCGGCAGCTATGAAGTTACCAGTGTATATTACTGATTCCTGAAACCCAGTGCAAACTTTGAGCTTGGCTGCCTGCTTGTATTATTGCTAGATGCTGAGTGCAGTGCCTTCATAAATAAAATCATATCACAAAATAGTAGAGCAGGCATAACTTGTTTTAAGTAGCAATCAAGAAAACTGCATATTTGTGATTAAATTGGAGTCTGTGTCTAAGATGAACAGAAAATGTTCAACTGTCAGGTAAGATTTGCAGTTGTCTTATTAACTATTAGACTGGCAATGACCTCGAGAGGAGACGGCATATGGTGGGGGTTCAGTTGCTGACCCAAGGGATGTGTCGCCTTGGACAAATGACTTCCTCTTTCCTGTTTCCTTTTGTGTGTGCTGTATGCTTAGGCTGCAGATAGGTTGGAGCAGGTACTGACTTGCATCTATGATAGAGACTGGCATGAAGAGGTGCTGATCTTGGATGAACATGAAGATGTTATAATATATTAAGTCAAAGTTTTGTTATGCTAAAAGCTCCGCAGAAGATGATGAATGCCCTTGGGCCTCATTCAAACTTAAAGACAATATTGCTTGACTGGAGTAAATTTGGGACTGAGCCATGCAAGAACAGTATGTCCATTAACAATATTCAGCCTGATGTAGACAGGTTTTTTCTTTATCTTTTATGGAAAGGAAAATGTTGAAAAACTTTTAGCTAGTTTGCTGCTCCTCAAACATATAGGACACAATTCCCATTTCATTTAAATCTTTGAAATCAGGCTCAAATTTCAAATTATATTAATGCAGAATATATAGAACAGATTCAACCAGTGCAGTTAAGCTGCTGATGAAATGAGAATGCATTTATTTGAGTGTTCACTCATGAGGCAGCAGTGGCTTGAAAATTCTGATTAGTATATGGCACAGAACAAAATCCGTAAAAGACCTACAGGAAATTAATTTCTATGCTTTGTGATATACTTGATACATCGATATTTCTGTGTGTAATACAGTATAGCATTGCATTAGAAAAGCACTTAGACATATGCTAAAACTTTAAACTACTCAGTAGTCTTATATGTCTTCAAGAAAACACTTACGCTTTAACTTTAATTAAATGAATAAGCATAAATAGCCAAAAGAAGTATCTCACAGAGAATGTATTACCTTTATTTTAGATTATATGTATGAATTTTCTTGTGCTATAGGATAATAATAAAATTTCCACCTTTGTATTTAATCAGGAAAGGAGCCAGTGCAAATACAGTTGTGTTCGTATTGTATTTCCACTCTCTAAATGAATGACTCACAAGAGTGTTCTTTTTTGTTTTACAGGGTTCAGCTTTTTTGCTATTGGAGTAGCTGATGCTGACTATTCAGAGTTAGTTAATATTGGCAGCAAGCCCAGTGAAAGACACGTCTTCTTTGTGGATGACTTTGATGCCTTTACAAAGATTGAAGATGAGCTGATCACTTTTGTTTGTGAAACTGCATCAGCAAGTTAGCCATTTTGACTTATACTTGCTTCTAAAATAAGTGCTAAATACTGAGGGTTTTGTAACTATTAATTTTCTGTTAAGAGGTATTCTTGATCTTTTTAACATAATATGCTGCAGATACTATAAATCTAATGTTATTTCCATAAAATATGAAGGAAATGAAGGTGGTGTGACTTCAAAATAATTCATGGTTGTTTGCTATAAATCCAGAATACAGCCATTGGTTGTCAAAAACTTATTTCACATGTGAAACATTGTTAATGGTTCAGAATGTCATCATAAAAAGTTAATTATATTTTATTTTCTAGGCTATTTAACTATCTGTAAGAGTATAGTTAGCTATATTCACTATTACTCAAATCACATGGTTGATTTATTAATGGAGAGCTAATCATTAATGTTTGTATTATCAGGGAAAATAGAAGAGTTGTAGACTAAGGAAAAGCATAAAACATGCCCAAACTCTGAAATCTCTGAAAATGCCACACTTCAGACTCTTTATGAAAATGAAGGGAAAGACATTCTGGAACAATACCTAATGGTTAGAGGTCAAAAATTCACATGCTTTTAGATGTGTGCCCTCAATGTTTCCTTATATATAAGCCAGGAAGTAGGTAGTGTATAGCTGATGTGAATCATTTGTAACTGTAAGGAGTCCTTGTGCATAGGACTGTGAGTTATTAGAGCTGGTGAACACAAATATGTTGCTGTGTCCCATCAATTCTTTGGTTTTCACCATAAACTCTACTTTCAATGGTAGAGAGAATTTTGAACTTTGAGAATGCTCAACAGTAGCATTTATTGGTCACTTGTGCTTGTATTCGAAAAGTGATCTCCAAATATGTGTATCCTGGGGTTCCATATTTGACACCCTGCCTGTAGGCTTACTGATTTCCCAGGGCACCTTTCCTGGAAGAGATTAGTATGCTTTCTTCCCTGCCAGAATAAAAATATAAGCCAGATTTACAGCTATTGAAAATGTGTGTACACATCTTAAGGACTGCGTGCAATTCTGGCCTCTGTTGCTCATGAAAGGTATTGTGGAGTTTGAAAAGGTACAGAGAATGCCAGCTAAAGTAATTGAACTTGAGATGGAGTTAGGCTGGATAAGCTCACAAATAGAGAACTAGGGAGCGCTTGGTTAAAACCCAGCGTCAGACATACTTTTTTATGCAGCAGGCAGTGAATTTGTTGCCACAAGAAGTTGTGAAGGTAGGTTCATGGAAGGATTAGACAAATTCATGGACAACAGATCCATAAAAGGATATTATATGGAACACACAGGGATGTACCCTTTAACATCTTTGCTACAGCCCCTGTGGATCTTGAGGACCGGCAGCTGAATGGAGTAGAAAGTGGCTAGGTTTGCATGCTCTTCCTAAACAGTATCACATTTTGCTACTGTTGGGGATAGAGTACTGGGCTGAGTGGATCATTTTACTGATCTAGTGGGACATATCTTGTATACTTAAATATATCTTTCCTTCTTTTCCAGCCTGCCCATTGGTAGTTAAAGATGGCAACAATTTTGCAGGTACAGTGTTTTTGTGTTCATTTTTGTTCCTGATTTATGGAATCATTTTCATTACCTGATTTTCACAATATTAGGCAATAAATTTCCCTTTATGCTAACAGCTGTTAAACAGATGGTGATATGAAACTCTTTTATGCAAATGGCTTTGTCCTTTTTTTGTTTCCTGTAATGCGGTATTAATTTAAATTAATAGAATGTATATTTTGATACCTTCCAGGATTTAAAATGATGGAAATGTTTGGTTTGGTTGAAAAGGAGTTTTCAGCTGTGGAAGGGGTTTCAATGGAACCTGGTACATTTAATGTTTACCCATGTTACAGACTGCACAAGGATGCCCTTGTATCCCAGCCTACCAAGTACGTATTAACATATAAATATTTGTAAAACACATGAACGTAATTGTCCAGTGCAGGCAATCATTCATTTCAGGGACCAGTATTTTCACAGCAGAAGAGCAGAGACACTAGTGCATATCTACATTATACTAATGAATAGGAAGTGTTTGGTGTCCTGAGTCCCTAGTGAGTTTCATTCAAAAATAGCAGTTGTGGGTAAAAGTAGGCAAGCCCACTGGCTATTTTGGGTTTCCTACATGAGCTGGTTTCAAGCTTGTGCCAGTTTAGCACCTAGCAATTACATGCAGGCGTATGTCTGGGCAGATTCCAGTATGTAGTACTTTGTGAAAGGTGCCTCTGGAATGCAGGTGAAGTCTCACTGAGTGCAGCATGTCTTTGAAGTGGGGGTCAGAATGAGAACCTGCTGTAACTGTCTTCAGTCGCTTGTACTTCACTCTATGTCCGTTCATTGATTACAAAGGAAGATTATCTCCTTACGCTGAAATGAGTCTATGTGAACACCATCTAGTACCTTCCTGGGAGGCAGGACATAGTTCAGTCACAAGGACTGTGTCCTGGGAGAGACGTGGAGGCGGCAACGAAGAAACCTCCTATTGAACTTTTATAGTCATTCCTGAGAGAGGAAGTGATGGAAGCTCTCCGTTTCTTCTATGAACAGTGTGTATGTTGTGTTTGGTTCTTCTCAATCCAGTCCCCCACTTCGTATTAAGTGGCATCAGAGAAAAGCAGTGGCCCTGCTGGATTAAACATGGGAAGATGTAACAAAAACTATTCGTTAGCTGAGATAAATAAGAAAGAAAAACAGTGAGAAATTACTTCTAAGGTTTATATTAGATGTCATCTTAGTCTTTTTCTGTGATTATCCTGTTGTGTCCCAGTTGGAGCTATACTTCTTGGAGCTGTTTCATATTCTCCATGTTTAGTTTCCTCCTGGGTCTAGATGGACTGAAATTTCCACAGATTAGCATTTCTCACTTTTTCCCTTTCTGCTTCTTTCTAATTGTATCTGATGCATTTATATGCTCTTCTCTAGCTGCCACCCCAGCTCAATCTTACTGCTTCATTAGGCTTTCACTCCCTTTCATGATTCAGAGAATACCTTTCTCTTGATGATCTACAGGTACGTCTGAATAATACCACTTGTTTTTGTCATCTCATCTGTGCACTGAATGCCATTAATGTTATTCTCCTTTTTGAGCTCTGTGTCCCCAGACCTTGTGTTTGCCCCACCCTGCTTATGAATTTCCTTTCATTCTTTGTACGATGGGCATACTGTAAGGCTTTTTTCTTATACCTATTGAGTTCCCTCTCTCTTTTCTCTGTGGGAAATGTGCGATGTAACATCACCTTTTATCATCTACAGACACTGTGCAGAATATATTGGTTATATATCACATTTAACTCCTTTTCCAGCATGATTCAAATCTATACATCTTATATGTGCCAGAAACACTTTAGAAGGAATGGATCATATTGGGGAAAAGAAATAGATTAAATAACCTCTTCAGGCTTCTTTCAGATCCCTTTACTATGATTTTAAGGAATCAGGCTAATTAACATTTGCAAAATACAGTCAGTCATTTCAGACACAAATGTTCCACTTTGGGATTTGACAACGAAAGGTTAAATTAAATTGGAAGTACTAAATAACAAATTTTAGGAAATGGCATAAAATAACATACTTCTTTTATATTATAAACTTCATTTCTGTTCTGCAAAAATGCTAGGAGAACAGATTGTATTTCTGTATGTGTGATGTGTTTTGACTTCACTTTCTTACATATTGGCTTTGAAATGTATAAACTACATTCCCTATAATTTATAAAGCTTCCTGTAACAGTCTCTGTCACTCCTAATTTTAATCTGTTAGTAATGGTTTAATGACAAAGATATGTCTATTGAGATTGGTCTTCCAAGCAAATTCTATTTTCACTGTCTGTTAAACCAGACAATAGCAAAGGTGTTGCAAGTGGCTACTATTTTTTAAAAGCTTTTAATATAATTAATTTCAGCTTTACTTCAAACTGACCTCCAATTTGATCTTCAAATTTAAAAAAAAAAAAATAATTAAGGGCAATTTTGTAAATTTCAAGGGAAAAGATAACTTCTCCTTTCTTCATAAGTATTCTTTTGATAGTTATCAAGTTGAGTAGATTTGCAAATGCTTATTCATGTTGCTTCTCAGTCTTGACTTCCAAAGAAATATACAGAATAATAGAAAGTGTGTTAAGTGAACATCTGGTGAGTAAATCACCAGATTTAATGTTTGTTTCAGTTTAAAAGACATTATTTCTCTTACAGGTATTTGCATCCTGAAGGTCTTCCTTCCGATTACACCATTACGTTTCTCTTTCGTATACTCCCTGACACACCTCAGGAGCCATTTGCTCTTTGGGAGATTTTAAATGAAGGATATGAACCACTGGTTGGAGTTATTTTAGATAGTAGGTATTTTATCAGTGACTTTTTCTGTAACTGTATGAATGGTTTATTCTGTGTCTAGATTTATTATTGCCAATGTTTTAATCTGCTGCCAGAACAACTACCTAGTTGGGTGATAGTCTCGGCTGGTTTTTAGATTTAATTTAACTGAGTTAAATTTGGAGTTAGAGTCAATTTTTTGAGTGCACTGCTCTAAACTGGGAGGAATGATATTGAAATCCAAAGAGCTGTACTGGCTGTAAATTGATGTAGGGGAGGTACTCATTTGGTTTTAAAATTTCCACTGCTCTGAATCTGGTTCTAATAGAATCTGTCTTGATATATGCCAGTGGTACTGACAGTACGGTATACGTAGAGGCAATGCAGTCTGGTGGATAGCAGACTTAGAGCTAGAGACACAAACTCCTGTTGACTCTTCTCATTTCTACTTGATTTGATTTCCACAACTGTAAAACAGGGATTATAATTTAGGAGGTTTCCATATTTACTGTTGAAAAGTTGTAGATACTATGATAGCTGTTCTTCATAGCTGCCAATTTTAAAAGAGAAATATTAGTAGTTATCTTTCTATCTTTCCTAGAATTTTTTAGATATATCGCCCTGAAATAGGTAGGAATTATGCATTTAGCTAGCTTGAGGATCCATGCCTCCTTTTCTTGTTCAAGTCCCACAGAGAACTAGTGGGAGAGTAGGATCAGGTAGACATGGGTGAGGTAGACTCCCAACTACGCCCATCCTTCCTGTCAACCCAGGAAAGAGCATTTTTCTGAGATAACTTGTTACTTCTGGGTCAGTATATCACTTATGAATATGTTTTACTAATATTTGATCTTTAGTTGTCTTTGTTAAACACAAAATTGACCCTTTCAAATAATGTATCAGGCCTTTTCTTCTTCTAACACAGAGCCCTTATTTTTATTCTCACACAGATGGTGGTAAAACTCTGACTTTCTTTAACTACGACTACAAAGGAGATTTTCAGACTGTGACTTTTGAAGGTCCTGAAATAAGGAAGATATTTTATGGGAGTTTTCATAAGGTTAGTAATGGTAATAGGAAAAAAACCCACTCTGAATAAAGGTTTGGGAGTTTTTCATGTTTTGAAATCTTCTTTCATGTGGTCAACTGCTGCCAAAACAAATGTACTTTGCATATTCAGAATCATCTACCAAACTGTCTTAAGTCTCTCTGCAATATTGAATTAACATTAAACAAATCATAGTTTTTATGATGAAGTTGATATGATCAATTTTCATCTCATGCTTTGTGCCTGTATTTTAGAGTTGATTAAAAATACTTGCCTTGAAAAGCAATTTAGAAATACATTGGCTTTTCCTTTTAAGGTTTGAATTGGAAATGTCAGTCAAAAAGAAAAGAGAAAGTCCAGCAAAAAAAATTACCCTTCCTTCGACCAGAGATGTTATTTTTAAACATATTTTAAGGGCTATGCCATGTCGAACTTTTCTTGGCTGTTAGAGAACTTTTAACATTCTTTCCGAAAGCAGATGAAGTAGTGCTGGGATTGTAGCACATATTTGTTGTGGAAGGTGCTTTTGTTGTTCTCTTTTATTCCTGATGTTTGTATCTTTCCTAAACAAAAAAAGGAGACAGTGGATTGAGGGATAGTATTTACAGAACTTAACTTTTCTGTACTTCCTTTTTAATCGATGGAGTGAGAAAAGGAAGGTAGGTCAGAGCTGGGGTCTAATTCTGACTAAGTTGTGCTTTGGAGGAATACATGAGGCTTTAGAAAATTCTCCTCTTAAGCATTTTTCTGCATTTTGAATGATGATCCTTGCTGTACACATGTTTGAACAGTGAAGGAGACCAAATTCATAGCAGCTTTTCAGTTATTTAGTTCCAACTGAGTGCAGAGCAGAGCAGTTACAGGACTCCTTCCTGGTATTCTCTCACCTTATCTCCACATAGTGTACTGGTATAGAGCAGACACTGCACTTCTACCAGCTCTCAGGTTTTGCTGTGCACTTACTGTGTAATTTACAGGCTAAATTTTGCTGCTTACTTTTTGCTTTTGCAAGTGGCTATAAAGGATGTATTGGTGAAATCCAGTTCTATATAGCAGGATCATACAAGGCTCAGGAATTATTACTGACCACATAAATCAAGGGTTCTTTGGGATCTGGGTGGTATATGAGCATTGTGTAGATCTTTTGTCAGGGATAAATTATATTCTTACTGAATAAATTACGTAAGGTGCCAATTTGTATGCAGATGTTCCGTAAGCAGAAAAATAAGCTAAATTCATTAAACAGATTAGAATCATAAAATAATTCAGGTTGGAAGGGACCTCTAGAGGTCATCTAGATTATTTATTCGCTATGGATTTTTCTCTGAGTTTTGTTAGCTAACATGCGGTTAGGAGCTCATTTTAAAAAAATACTTCCTTTTCCCAGGAAATGAATATACCCTATGTGCTCATTTGTATGTTAAAGCATCTTTTCTTTTGCTTAGTTGCATGTTGTTATCAGCAAGACTACAGCCAAAATAATTATTGACTGCAAGCAAGTGAGTGAGAAGACCATTAATGCAGCAGGGAATATTAGTTCTGATGGCATAGAAGTGCTGGGGAGAATGGTCAGATCCAGAGGACCAAGAGACAACTCTGCGCCAGTAAGTAGAACATGAACAATTCTTTAAACCATTTAAAATATCATAAAAACAAGTGGTTGGGATCTTTGCAGTTAGTTTTAAGTTGAAGCGGAGTGAACTCATATTTGAAACAGTAAAATTCCATCATTTCAGAAATTCTACAAAAGCCTGCAATTGTTCTCAACTTGGGCAAAATCTATTTTTGATTATTTTAATCAATGAAATCACTAGATCGTCATTGTTCAAATGTTATTCTCAAAGACATATGTGAACACAGTTGATACGCTCAGATATGACTTATGTTCCAAACTTCATTACACAAGAGTAATACAATGTATAACTCCTTTGCCTGGAATAATTTAAACTCTGTTTTGAGTGATAATTATTACCCATATCTCTTACTCCTTCTTACTCTTTGTTTGTCCCCGAGTTCACTGTTTGCTCATTAAATAATTGAACTGGTTTGACACAGATGGCCCCCCAAAACCCCTGTCTTGGTATATCTAGTTCTTTTATAATATAAAATATTTTAAACGTGGAATATCCTCCCCAAGATTAAGTACTCTCATTCCTCTGAAATTATTCTCCTAGAAGCAGTAATTGATCATTCTGTTTGCACAGTAACCTATGAGAGTCTTTCCATTTTGCTTCAGATGTCATTAAGAAGGTTTGTTTGGGTTTTTCAGGTAGATTTAGTTGTTGAAGAAGAATTGACAGTCTGGCAATGATCTTGGGAAGGCTTCTTTGCCGTGCAGTACTGTTTGCCAATTTTCTTTGAACTTTCTTGACCCTAGAATGAGGTTAGCAGAGAATGTGAACCTTGAACTCAAGGCTTGGTTTGAATAGGAATGAGGTTTCAATAATGTATTTACTTACTACTATATGGAAATACTCTTGTTTAGTAAAAAATAAGCCCTCAGAATATATCTCTGTATACAAAAAAGAGCCTTTAGGACTCTAACTTACGGATAATAATTATATCAAGCCTGTAAAGACAATTACACAGAGAAACCTTTGTAGTCACATTCCAATAGAAACAGAAAAAGGCGAACTTAGGAAATCTTGGAATTAGAGAAGGCTTTGTAAAGAAGTGGAAAGAAATGGTGTCTTTTGTTAGAACCCAGGAATCTATAAAAGATAAGTCAGACTGCCCACTCACTGAAAAATTTGGTTTTGTTCAAATGAACTGTAAAACTGATGTCAGACTAGAAATGTGTAGCTGAAGATGAATATTCTTTAGTCTGTAGTACTGTTTAGCTGCCTTCAAGTATTACCACATATACCAAATTACAATCGGATCAAGAAAGCACCCAAATACCATTCTTTAAAGTCTCCATTCTGCACATTTTATTCATATTGAGTAGAACTTGTGTGAATAGTCACATTTAAGGTATGAATGAGTTGGTTTCCGCTAGTCCAAAAATTAGAGAACATCAAAGGAAGCTAGTAGTAGGCAGGATAGAGGTTCTTCTTGCAACAGGTAGTACATCAGTGCAGCTCCTTGCTGCAGAATTTTATGGGTGCTAAATTTCTATAGATTGTAGGGAAGCCTGTACAAATGAATGAAAGGGAAATATTGGTTGTTAACAAATCTGGGGCAGGAAATCCCTGATCTGAAATTCATTGGAAGCTAGTAGACTGTAAGGTAGAAGTATGACTCACACCCTTGTGCTTCATTAGATATCATTTGTGCCACCGTTGGAAATAGAATACTGGGCTTTATTACATTCCAGTGTCTTCACAGTTTTAAGAGATTCATGCATACAACAAAAATTCCTTTTTGTATAACATTTTGAAAATTGTTTTGAATTGATACAAAAATTGGGGTTTAATAGTTCTGAAAAGTTCTTTTTTTCACCATCTGCATTTTCATAAAATGCTTTAATCTGACTTTTCATAGAATCATAGAATCATAGAACTGTTTAGGTTGGAAAAGACCTTTAAGATCATCCAGTCCAACCATTAACCTACACTACCAAGTCCACACTAAACCAATCAAGGGTAGACTAGACTAAACCATGTCCCAAAGTGCCACATCTACCCGTTTTTTGAACACTGCCAGGGATGGTGACTGCACCACCTCTCTGGGCAGCCTGTTCCAATGCTTAACCACCCTTTCCGTGAAGAAATTTTTCCTAATTTCCAGTCTAAACCTCCCCTGGCGCAGCTTAAGCCCATTTCCTCTCGTCCTATCGCTTGTCATTTGGGAGGAGAGACCAACACCCACTTCGCTACACCCTCCTCTCAGGTAGTTGTAGAGAGTGATAAGGTC